TTTTTTTTTTTTATTTCTCTTGTTCATTTGATAACCAACTCAAGCAGATAAAATCCTACTTTGTTATTGGTAAAGTCTGCTAATTCTAAAGGAGGAATTGGCTATGTCTTCTTTACCATTAAATAAAAATTTAGCACACTACTAATAATTTTTTCTTTCTCATAATAGGTAAATGCAGAGATTTACAATTACTTGTAGAATGAAAAAATTTTAACTTTAAAAGTAATAATATATGATAAATAATTAATTAGTTAATGGTTTTACTAGAAATATTAATTATAAATAAACTGAATCATTTATTACTAAAATTAAAATATTATAAGTAATATAGTTTTAGTTGATAATCCCAGTATATAATAAAGGTCATGTCATTATATCAGTTACTAAAAATAAAATCACTAAAAATAAATTAACTAAAATCAAAAAATAACATTTAATAAAAAAATTGTTTATTTATTTTTTTTTAAAAAAAACAAATTATTTAATTATTTGATACTATTATAATATAAAAATTTCAAATTTGAATTTAATGTATAAAATCTTCATCTTTTATTTATACTCTTAAATGAATTTAAACTTGTAAAATTGTAATATAAGTTAATGAAAAACAGGAGGAGAATTTTTTTAAAAAACATTGTTATGAAATTTAATTTGTTTAATTTGAAACTAATTTTCTATTAATAAACATTTAATATTTTGAATCTTTATAAATTCATACAATTCTATATATAATCTATTACATAAATTTCTATAATATAAAAATATATATTATTTAACATTTATTTCAGCAGTTACGTAATTGTTTAACTGCAGAGGTTCCAGTTTTTTCTTTTCCTTGAGGTTTTTTTAAGTTTATGGTACAGTTCACCAATAATTAGTATTTGTTTTCATATATTTTACTTAAGTTTGTTACTGTTTAATGTCTATTTCTCTTTAAATAGTTACAATTTAATACTAGTTAGGACCTGTTATTCCAAACTATAGTTCATTACTCTGAGGTGAAGTTCTATACTGTATTTCATATTTTTCATAGTATACTTGTAATTTTTGATCTTCAATATAGTCCTCCTGACTAGCCATAAAATAAATAAATAAATAAATATATTATTTAACATTTTATATTAAATTAAAATCAAAATCATTTTGGATTTGAAAATTAATTACCATTATAGGGAGTTTGCTTAATAAATCATTATTTAATCCAATTCCTTTAATTGTTTATCTTTCTCTAATAACTTTATATTTAACTTTCAACATATCTTTTTTAAATTCATATACTAATTACTTTATTGGCTTTATTTATTAATGCAAACTTTAATTGATTTTTTGAAAAATTATTTGGCCATTATTTAATGAATTTTATAAGTTACAATAAAAATTGAAATAATAGTAATATTGTTAGTATATTTAAAAGAATAAAAGAAAATTATTTTATAGAAAGATATAAATTATGTAAAGAATTAGTAATTCAAAAATCTGAAAACTTGCATCTTACAAAGCAAAGAAAATAACGAATAACATAACTATTTAATGAATTATTAGAATTATTAAGTATACTTCATTTGCATCACCTTTTACCTTTTGGTTTAGATAAATACTGTTTACAATTTGCAAAAACTTTATGAATAAAATTGCTATTAATGGTGATAATATCACTAATAGATTTAAACCTATTATCAAATTTAACATAATTAAATCTTTTTAAATTGATCTTAAATTTAGTAATAGTAAGAGATAAGATAAATTCACTAAAAAAAATATAATCTTTTATTAAACAAAATGAAATATTTAAATTAAAAATTGTTAGAATTCTATTTGAACAAATTTTTTATTCAATATTTTACTTGAAGTATCATAATAATTAATGATTATCACTGCCAAAAAAAATTTGGATACTACTTACAACTTCTTATTAATACTAAAAAAAATTTGAGTATTACTTGTTATTATCCATTATTACCAAAAAATGCCTATTACTACTTATCACTGCTAAAAAAATTTGAGCACTACCTATAACTTTTTATTACTACTTGTTACTAATGCAGAAGTTTAGGAAATACTGTATATAGACTTTTTTTAGCAA